ACATTCCACCATTATTTATGGAATTGAGTCCAAATTTCTTACTCTGGCTTTCAAAGGCAACAAAAGGTAAAGCAAGCCACTTGTTCCATGCTCTTCGCTGTTCTTGACACGCTGATTTCTGTCTCTGCGTTTTCAAGCTTGCTGGTTCCCCAAGCCTTTCCCCAATTCATGGCTCTTTTTGTGTCCTGGCTCCTCCAAGCAGGCTTCTCAGATAATGCCAGTCTAGTCTGTATTGATCTTTTTCTTTTCTGACCTCAACCTCTCACATACCTTTCAAGGACAAGTAGCTCATCTTCCCAACTTGGTTATACATTCCCTGAGGGCAGGCGCCATGTCTCATTTTGAGTGTATACGTTATGTCTCCCCAACATATAAGAGGTCCTTGACACATAGACAGAGACTAGTGATTTTTCCATTTCCCCCCAGTCTCATCCTAGTGCTGGGCGCATGCTGGGCCTTCAGGAGCACTTGTGGATTTGTTTTAGATGTGCACAGCATCTGCTCGAGTGTTCAGCACACGATGAGCACTCCATAAATTGTATTTTTAGAGACAATCTGTTACCACATAAGGACTACCAGAAATTACTCATACTCTTTGTGTAAATGGATTTATACAATTATAATGTTTAGGAGCTGGAATAAGGATGAGGGAAAGAAAATCATGAGACTGTTTTTTTCAGCCGAAAGGAATAATAGACCTTCTAGTCCAAATGTTTTCACTGTTGTGTCACAGAACAGGTGTGGGGTTTGTTGAAAATAATTTGTTATTAATGATAGTTAATGTGTCAAGTTTATAGATGATTTACTATTTTTTTATGAATTGAAGTGGATTCCAGGTTTTGACAGTAACAAGCTCATTTTTATTCATTTGCTTTCTTGACTGGGAAGGCTAAGTCTAACTACTTTCTTTTTCAGATGAGGAAACTGAGGCTTAGAGATGAGAAGGAACTGGTCCAATGTCACATGATGAGTTAGCAGAGATATGGAAGGTAAATCCTAGGGCTCCTTGTCCTCTGCTGTATGGTCCCCCCGCTGTCCTCACAGCCTCCTCAATCTACAAATCAGAAGCAATCAGTGACACTGAAGACCAAAACAACATAGAACCCAGTAAAATCCAAAGTCTTACTCACATTGGAAAATATTTGTCTCCTGGTCAAGGAGCAAGGCTTGAGGAAGATTTCTCTTGAAGAAGCAAGGCAAGAGGATTTTGTGAAACTCCTGTTTGCTGGCCTTCTGTTATAAATCATTTGAGAAAGTATATATTTACCCCTCTCTTCCTAAGACTTTACCTTTTCTTTGTACAAATATCCATCCTTGGATATTAGATTTTTCTCTAGAAAGAAACTCAGAAAGTCCAATTAAGAACCAAAAAACTGTATCAACATAGGCAGAGCCTCCCCTCATTTTAATCTGCAAGATCATATTAATTGCTTATTTTTGAAATTTCAGAACATTTGAACTGTTTGCATAGTAGAAATGAAAAACTTTCTGATGAATTTACAGAAAACAAAATCTGAATAAATGCAGTTTAAAAACTAATGAATTTCCTTCAACAAGCCCCTCTCTCCAATTACCCAGATCATTGCTAAAATATGCTTGCTTTTCAGACATCGATTTAGTAAATAAAATATATTTTGTTCCAAAATCTCAAGTTAACCATTTGAAATGTAATCATAACCTAAGTCTTCAGTATCTCAATGTCATCCTATTTATTTATTTTTTAAGATGATGACTTGGACAAGGATAACCTACATTTCCTTTTTCATAACCTTCTGTAACATGACAGAAGAAAACACACAGCAAAGTGTAGCTGGATTTTCCTTTCATTCACTAATGCTTTTAATAAGCCCCTCAGAAATCTCTGGAAAGAAGTTTTTGAATGGATATTTTTTCCTCTTTTCCACTCTTGCAAACATCATGTCAGCTGAATATGACAAGATTGAGGGCTTTATTTCTTTCTTTGTTTCCAGATAAAATCTGTTTGACCAGATAGAGACACAGTGGCCCAGCAATAAAACCATGGCTGAAGTTTATGATCAGGAACAGGCCAAACACCACTTTGTCAGCTAAGAACTTTGCTCACTGGAATGAATCATTGAATTTCTGAAGCTCATCTGAGTTGTCCAAGGGTCTATCAGTTTCCCTGATGATAAGAAACTTGGCAGTGTTGGCTAAAAGGCCGGGAGACGAACAACTAAATGGGAAAACTGCTCTGTGACCTGAAATGTGATAATGTGACATTCCTAGATAGATTCCTAGTTTAACTTTCTTAATTATCACATAGAATAATCAAACTCATCAACTCCATAGACAACTCCTCTGCAAAACAGCTAAATGAAAACTCCCATTACCTCCCCTGCCCCACCACCAACAAAAGCAGTAGGATATCGTGATTTATAAATGGGAAAACTGCTCTGTGACCTGAAATGTGATAATGTGACATTCCTAGATAGATTCCTAGTTTAACTTTCTTAATTATCACATAGAATAATCAAACTCATCAACTCCATAGACAACTCCTCTGCAAAACAGCTAAATGAAAACTCCCATTACCTCCCCTGCCCCACCACCAACAAAAGCAGTAGGATATCATGATTTACAAAGAAGATAAGCGGTTTAAACTTTTTTTTAAGTCAAGTTCAGGAAGAGAAATTAACCCAAGACAAATGGTGCATTTAAATCCTGTAAAAATAAAATCAGAATATGGCTGTGTCCAAATTACATGACTGAAAGGAAAAGGGGATAAGAAGTTTTCAGGCTTGAATCACCTGGATAATTGTCTCAATGCCCTATTTGTTTTGTGTGTAGCAACCACTCTCAAAATAGACTAGAATCATAGAGTACTAAAGTTGGATATGTCCACTGAATTCATTCAGTCAACACTATTCCCAGATGGGGAAACTGAGACCCAGTGAGAGCTATGATTTGTCCTCACAGCTTTGTAGCTGCACAAAGGTCAGAACCTCAGATCCTGGGACACTTCATTAGGAAATGCCACCCGTATGTTTTTATTTCGTATAAATTGGACTTATGAGACAACCATGTTGTAACAGAAATATGATTTTAATATGGTCTTGAACCAAAAAAAAATTTCTCTCCTATCTGGAAGACATAAGAAACAAACCAATCAAATACACAGAGCCATAGGAAGAACTAAATAATAGGCTCTGGAAGAATTCATCATTCAGGCTTGTCAGGGAGCACATCTTCTGTCAACTCAGAATCTCCCAATTCCAAAAGCCAATAACAAAAGAAATCTCACAGCTCAGCAGTAAAGCTACTTTTAACTCTAGAATGAGATCATTGGGTTCAATAGACAGACCCAAGTATCACTTCAAATTGGGCTTGCCTGCATGTACTAAACTTTGGATCTTGGCTGCGTGTTACCATAACTTCTCTGCCATCCTCATGGGAAAGATTTAAGACTTCCTGGAACAGCTAAGAATCCATTGTAATAATGCTTGGAACTTGAAGCCCCCAAATTTCAACTCTTTCTTTTGTGTTCATAGGAGAGCCAGAGTCTTAATCATTCATTCATTTCTTCATGAAGGAAATATTTATTGGAGACTTGTGTTCCAAAACACTATTTAAGGTGTTAATGATGTGAAGGTGAAAGGGGCTTGAGAAGTGAGGGACTTGGCCAAGGATTACCCAGAGTAGACTCCATTCACTTATCCTGTCTGCCGAGCAGCCACTTTGCGAGCTGGCAAGTACCTTATAGTTCATGTTGTAGCCAACACTCTGTCAAGATCAAATATGTCCAAAAATGCCAGGTAACTGGATCTGACAGATAATTAGCTCCAATGTTCCTTTTTAGAGTAATGTTGATAGCAAACATAAAATAATATTTGAAAATCAAATTAACGAAAATGATTTGTAACTAATTACAAAGTGGTTGCCCAGGGAAACATGGATCAGGTGCATTTCTAGCCCCGATTCGAGAATGACAACATCTATTTTGATGGTCTTTTTCCAGTATCAACAGACACATATGACTTACTGTTTTACATTACATGTGTTCAGAATGTGCATTACTTTCATTCCCATTCCATTCCAACTAATCGTTTTAAAGGATCAGATAATCTACTGTACTAAGCACCAACTCTTATTCTTCAACAAAACACTTTAAAATGAGGCTATTCCAATTGTTTCAGCTACCCTGTGAAGGCTACATGAATGAAGTGAATATATTGTGAATATAGCAAATTAATAATCTCAAGAGAAGATAATTTGTTTAAAGTCCTCATGTCCACCACAGAAATCTCAAATCCTTTGTTATATGCATATATGTTTTCAAATGGAGCATACCTGGAAGATATATTCTGATGTTCAACCAAATGCAAATAGCCAAAGAAGTCACTTTGCTAGAATATCACCACAATTACAGCAACAAATGCATCTCCCTTTCTCACTTGTTTTAACTCTAGTCTTTGGGAATATAGTGATAGCATCTCCATTAATGAATTCATAATTTCTATTCCTTCACTTTGCATGTCAATCTGACTCTTATAAAATATAAATTTATTAGATCACTTACAGTATTAGATAGAATTTTATAATAAGAAATGGTTGGCTGTGGTGTGGGTGAGTGTGTGTGGTGGGAGTGGGAAATCAGTAGACTTTCTTTCAATTCCTAGAGAGACATCTTTATTTGAATTGTTTTTGTTCTTTTTACTTTTAATATTTTAAGTCTGATACTAATGGACATTCATGGAAAAGTATTAATATGTTTTTTAAAAGCTCATTGTACCCTTAATATGTAAATTATTATCATATAAAGAATAGAAGACTTTAATTTGTAAACATTAAAACAGCATATATCAAGGCAAAGAGGATGGTTCCAGTGATACTTTGTCATTAATTCCTCTTAAGATTTTAAAGAATTTTTCTACCTAATTCAGATGTTCATTTTTGTGAATAATTATTTATTAACTAAAAGCTAACTACAGCATAAAATAACTGTGTAAACAGTTTATCAAATAAAACACAATATCATTTGATCAATTTGCAGTATTTCATTTTGCCTATTAATAGCCCAAAATATGACATTCATTTTTTGAAACAATGTCACTATTTGGCACAGAAGTCTATTTACACGAGAGCTTGTTTAATTTGCCATTTATTCCAATAACTTGAGAACAGTTATTTGCGACTAAATCTAACAGTATTGGTACAAGTATTTTCAAGCTAAAATACTGCTAAAAAATTCCAACACACATGCAATTCAATATGTTTACATAATAACATATTTATTATAAAACCTGTGACTCTAAGCACTTTATTGGATGTGAATACAGGAGTCACTCTACCCTCTAATGAAACATGGCCACATCTGAGCGAGGAGACGCTGCTGAGCAGAAGAGTCCTGTGTTCAATTGAGTTGAAATGGGTTACCTACTCAGACTGTTCAGGAATGCTGCTGCGCCGTCATAGAATTGCTTGGTAGCTCAATTCGCACAAAACTGCAGCAGATTTTCAAGTATAAGCCCTTAGCAACCAAGATACTGGTAGCACAAGCGGCATTGGCAAAACACACTCATTATGCAGGTGGGCTCTGTTTTAAGCGAAGTCGGTATTGAAAATCCAAACATACAAAACAGAGAAGTTAGAGAGTGATTACTTGTATTATAAAATGGTTTTCTGCTTTATAAAAGGATTCACAAGTTTCCTCTAAATGGCAGCTCCCCTAATGCATTTAAAATACAACTTGATTTACAAAACTTCAATTTACACGTGACTTTTTGCACAACCATTGGGAGAAGCAAAGTACACCTATATACAATACTTAATTTTCTCTCTCAGGATTTAGGTTAATGTCTTATTGTATCGGTAAAAGACACTTAAGCCAGAATGTTATCTTTTAAACCACTGAAATATAAAGTAAATATTGCCTCTAAAATATGGATATTCCAGAAAGTTGAAGTACATTTGTGATTTTGTATTTACAATTTTGGGACTCATCTTTACAATGTAGATCTTTAGATAGCACAAGTATATAGCTATCTTCAGGCCATAATATTGGGCCCTATTCTGCAGAAATTTGTTTTATTTTACTTTATTTTATGTTTGTGGGTTTTTTTCCTTTTTAGCTGTGTAACTCTAAAGAGATGTTAATGGTGGTTACATTGTAGCTAGTCTATTGATGATATACCAGTTTTATACTTCATTGCACAGAATCACCTTTAAAAACCCAACTTCCTGTACTTCATTACTGTTCCCACCTTTTACTCTGGGTGATTGTCATTCAGATAAGGTTCTCCTTTATTAGCACTATGCTCACTGCGGAGGGTCTGAGGGGAGGAGTGGGGCAGAGATCCTGTCTACTGTATCTCTGTGCCCCCTCAGCACACAGTATAGAGCCTGGCACCTAGGAAGTAAGAACTCAATAAATATTTATTTAATGAATTAATGAATGAAATGATTGGATTGGGAGAATTGTCTGGAAGGCTTTCTTCACTCTAGCATCCAATCCAGTATATTTCTGGAAGGTGTACAATTAAAATGAATTTTCAGAGTCTGAAAAATCACAGAACCTCGCTATCGTTCCTTATACACTTTTTGTAAAATCCATAAAATATTGAGCCCTTGATGACATGGAAATATTTAGAAAAATTAAATCACCTTAGAGGTCAGAGGACAAAGCAGAGGATATTGAAGGGTCATTTCCTTACTCACCAACTGCTGGAGGAAACTAACAAGGCACACAGGTTGAACAAAGTCCAGAACCAAATTAGACTCTTGGCATTTGTGTCCAGACTGAGAAGTGGTGCTTTTGAGTGTTTCAATACAAACTTAGCCACAGGTATATTCAGAAACAGTGAAAGAAACTAATTAAGAACTAGAATCAAAGGGAATTACCATTTGTCATTTGTAGGGCCAGACATATAGATCTGTTCCAGGCAGGGCCAGGGGAGATCGCATTCTGTTGGCTGGAACCATTTCGCTGTGCTGATGCTCATACCATTTACAAGCTGCATGTGAAATAAAAGTGAAATAGCAAAATCCAGCTGTAGGAGATAAAAATAAAAATCCTAAAATAAAATATGTTTGAAAGCACTTGAGTGGATAAAACAAAACAATATAGTCAGTGGGTATGCTAATAAGTTAGTAAACTCAGTGTTTGTGATTGCATTAGAAAATAAAGCTTCAAAGTATATGGTGTATTATGCCTTTAGATGAAATAGTCTGGACCACATTCAAACAATGTCACCTTAAAATCTAATACTAATAAAGTACAAATCTAAGAAGCATGAGAATCTAGAATTAAACCATAATTATGAAGCGAAAGAGTTTATGAATTGTTCTTCCAGGAGGCCTCTTTAAAATCATGTAACTAAATGAATATTAAGCTATCTCTATTTAAGATTAATGAATTAGTTTTTCTATGGATAATGGTATTTTACAGGAATGACTTTACTTTCTGGAGAATAAGAACAAACACTGAAGTGGAATCACTACGTCAATAGTTCTAGTCACATAGTTTAAACCTAAAAACTATCTTTAATAGAATATATATACTAAATTTGCCTTCATAATCACTTCCCAAAATACATACCTCTGTATTCTGTATTTATCATTGCACCAAATGAGAGCAGCCACAAGAGGGTTTTTGAAACTCTTTTATACATATAATATATATAAGTACTTCACTCAAAGAGGAGAGAGAAAATGGTTTCCAGGAGCTATCTCCAAGTTCAACTAGCGTAATACTCTTGCTCCTCTTCTATGAAATGTAAAATCTCTGTACATGAACTATCTTGTAGATCATTTCAGCCCACCATTTTCATCTTTGATCTAATAGATTTAAGAGGAATTATGATCTCTAATCAAAGAATGAACACGTTAGCTTGTCACTGTATTTATTCAGAGATTTTAGCTTGTTAGAGGCATTTTTTCCTGAATGCCCTTTACATTTATATATACACAATTACCTTCTATTGTTAAAAAAAATAACTATTTTGTACCAGTAGTTATTAATCCAAATAATTTGGATTTAAGTAATTTCTAATTGAAAGCCTATCACATGAATTGTTTATAGTGACAGACAACATACTATTGGTCATTTTAAAGCTTTAAAAGTAAGATATCAGGATCCACTTCAATCTCCACATGATAATAAAGGATTATTATGTGCAGTAACCTATTTATGAAAAGGAAACAGTGTGCTTCTTTCAGACGCCATCAATTGCTTTAATAAGGATTTGAAAAGCTGGACTACTTTATATGCAGATCACCATCCCAGTTGCATAAGGATTTACAATAGACAAAACAAAACTATTTTTTGTTGTAAAGAAGGGCTGTTTGTTTAAATCACACAATAATGTTTGCATCTGAAAATTATTTACAGGCTAATAAGGCTTCAGAAATGTTATATAGACTAGGTTAGTTAAAATCATTTTAATGCTAAGACCAAAAAGAAAGGCTTGCTCAAGCTGACAAGGAAAAATTCAAGTAACACATGCCTCAAGAAGGCAGAAGAAGCAAGATGCGTGCTGTCTTGGGGTTAGGGACTTACTAATCGATTCGGAAATGCAAATAGCACATGATGTGATAGCACCCCATTAACGCTTCAATAAACTGAAGAGGAAAACGCTGCTTTGTCTGAAAATGTGAAAATTGAGAAGGATTCTGACCCTAACCTTTAATCCTAAAAGAAATAGAAAGTAATGTATACATTTGTCTCTGCTGCCTTGAATTTGCAGAGAACTTACTTGGGAAGTTTGACTCTCACCTTTGAAGTCTTCCTTCAAGGTATTTAATGGCTCCTATGTCTTTATTAAATGAGGTGTGTGGCGGCCTCTACTGGTGTATGTTTATAGAAAATATTTCAATAGGCAGAAAAAATATTAATTTCAATTAAAAAGTTAGAAATACAGACTCTTTCATTTAAATATATAAAAATATCTAATTTAATGCAGAAAAAATATATTACAAGTTGTGTAATGTACTCTTAATTAGGAAAATAATCTAAAACACTGACCATGTTAGTGTAAAATAATGATTTACGGAAGGGCATTAATTGTTCAATTCACTCTGATATTGGGTTAAATATATTTTATTAATGAATTACTAATCCCAACTGAGGTGGTTTATTACCTCTAGTCCACTGTTAGATTCCCTTAGTTGACTTAAATAAAATTACTTAGAACAAACCCAGAGGAAAGGAGATATTTTACAGTTAAATCTATAAAGTCCTAGAACTAGAATCATTTGATGACAGGCTGGTTTCTATAACTCAAGCAAACTGTACGTTGACTTAATATAGCTGACATTTCGATCTATTTTACAGTGTTTTTAATTTCAAAAATACAACACATTAAAATATGTTCAATTTATCAAAGCTAAAAGCAACATTTAAGTAATGTACTTAAAGTGCAAAGGCACTTTAACACAAAGAAGTGATGCCTAGTGGCTATACTTGGTAACTGAAGACGGAAATACCATATATCATTATTTACAAAAGAATTTATAGTCTCAAAAGATCTTTGGAGATCTTCTACAAAATATCCATCTTCATCTGAAAAGTTTGCTTACTCTTTCTTCATTCACTATAATCTCTTCTTCCCATTCCCACACTGGAAAAATAAAAGAAGAAAAAAGAAACAAAATATATGAAAAATGCATTGTAGAAACATTCATGTTCAATGAGGATTCCTAAGGAGAGGAGGGAAAAAAAGGTGGGAGGGGAGAGCAGGAGAGAAATAATTTAAAGGAAAACTTGAAAAAGCAGTATCATTGCTTCACCCCATCCCCCAAACATTTGCAAAGTCCCCCAGTGATGCTGGGAAAGGGCGAACACAAGCAGACATGAAAGCAAATGCAGTGCTTCCAACAGTTTGGAGCAGCATCCTTTGATGCCATAGGGTTGTAAATGATTTCCCTTCACAGCTGACTGATTGCAGTTTGTTTTTCCAGAACTTCGAGGTAGTCTGGTTCTGATTGCGGCTTAGCTTGCAGTAAAGGGTGGTCGGGTTTTGACTGCCCCACAAAGCATTTCCTGGGAGTTCCATATAAAACGGTTTTATTGATTCTGTCTTGGTTTTGGCGTCGAGATTCATATGAGGGGGCGAACTGCCTTTTAGGTAAGGTACAAAAGTTATAGTGGACTAGTCCTGCACTGGGAAGTTCCTTGACTCGCTCAGCAATATTCTGATACAGCAGCTCGGGCTCTCTTGGTGTGGCCTGCTTCTCTAGCAATTCAGTGGCACTTATTGTGTAAGCAAGTGTGGCTGGTTCTTCTTTTTTCTCCTCCAGGTTGCTGTAGCTGAATTCTTGCAGGTTTCGGTAGTAGGCTACCGGGTCTCCTTCCTTCTGCATGTAGATGGGGTTTTGGCACATCTGACCCACTGGTGGGGGGATATAGTTATAGACGTGGCCGTCCGTTTTATCCTGAGTCTCGGTGTTGTAAGACCCATACTGTAACTGGAAGGAACTTACATCTAAGTTGTTGGCACTCCTGGGAACACTCGGCATCCCCTTTCGGCGTTTCAGGACAAAGACGAATAAACCGGCCCCAAAACAGACAGATAAGATAAAGACAACAAGCAATCCTAAAATTAAGACGGAAAGTGGAACTTCAGTGTGCAGTTCAGGATAGGAACTGGGAGACACACTAAGCGACCGAGGTGTGTCGGTGTTGTGATTCATGGACAAAATGGTTCCGTCTGACAAGTTTGGACTGTCTGGACAAATAGCCTCTCTCCCCAGAAACTTCAGTATCTCCCCTGCATGCTTAGCGGGAGATTCACAGGTCACCTCATTGATGATGACAGGAGAATTGGCATGTTCCGTCCAGTCCTTTAGCCCCATGATGTCACAGGTGCAGTCCCACGGGTTCTCTTGCAGATCTATCTGGATAAAAGCTGGAAGCTGATCGAGAACCCCTTTCACAGGCAGATGAGAAAAATGATTGTTTCTCAGATTCAGCCTGGTGAGGGCCGTGCCCCCAAATATATTATCAGGTAAGGACCGTAGCAGGTTGTTATTCAGAAACAGTAGCTGGAGGTTAATCAAAGCATCAAAGGTCAGTGGCTTAATTTCCTTAATTACATTATACTCTAAATAGAGATACTGCAAGCTCTGCAGTCCATCAAACATAGAAGGATACAGCACTTCAAGGTAATTGCCATTCAGATAAAGTCTGCGTAAACTGGTCAGGTTTGTGAAGGCACCTTCCTGAATGACTGCAATCCTGTTGTTTCCTAAATGCAACAAATCCAAAGAACTGTATTCTAGGAGGTCGTTCTTGTAGACAGTTTGAAGATAGTTCCCTGTTAGGTAGAGTTTCTTTGGACTGGTAGGTTTGGGCTGCAGGTCGGAGATATTAGTGAACTTCCTTTCTTGGCAGTTAACGTTTAGACCATTGTCTGAGCTCTGAGAGGTGCAGACACAGCTACTTGGGCAGGTGAGGGGCACAGGGGACTTGGTCTGGTACACCATGATAGGTCCAAAGCTCTGCCTGTCCTTCGACACAGTGACCCGAGGAGTTGGACGATTTCTCATTTTGGGTGGCCGGCTGGCTTTTGGAGCCCTGGTTGGGTTGAGAGCAGGATTCATTGTAGGTGACAGCCTTTGGACGTGTGTGTCAGCATGGCTGCCCCTTTGACTGGACTCACCCGTACTTTTTCTGGGACAGAGGTCTTGCCTGGTCAGTTGGGTCACATCTTTCCCATGCAATCTAAAGGGAGTTTCACAGACAATCTCCCCCACAAAAACAGTTATGGTGTCCAGCCAAGCCTTGAGAGGAAGTAAGTCACAAGTGCAGTTCCATGGGTTTTCCTCCAGCTGAATCTCCATAATCCCTCCGATATGTTCAAGGACACCAGCGAAAGGCATCACTTTCAGCCTATTCCCTCTCAGGTCTAAGTGGGTCAGCAGGACGAAGCGGAACACATTGCTGGGCAGCGAGAGCAGAAGGTTGTCATTCAGGATGAGCACTTTGAGCTTATTCAGTTTGCTGAATGCCCCTGCCTCGATAGCACTAATGTAATTGTAGTCAGCCTGGAGGTACTCGAGGCTCTCCAGGCCCAGGAAGGTGTCCTCTCTCAGCACCTCGAGCTTGTTGTTGTTAAGGTGCAGTCTCTTGAGGGTCTTCAGGCCGCTGAACGCCCCAGTTCGGATCTCCTGCAACCCGTTGTTACCTAGGTGGAGAGTTACCGCGTTGGAGTAATTGACGAACTCGTTCGGGTACAGTCTCGTCAGGAGGTTTCCATTGAGGAAAAGCTGATAGATTCGATACTGGGGGGGCTGGAGCAGGCTGACAGTTGTAAATCCTTTGTTTTCGCAGTTAATATTCAGTACGTTTTCCTTCTCTTCGCACAGGCAGCGGATCTTGCAAATGTCTTTGGCAGTTTTGCGACTCTCCGTCCGTAAGATCCCGGCCACGGTTAACACACTGAGGAACCAAACGCCGCTCAGCATCTTTAGGCACCGTCGGTGTCAGCTCAGGTACCTACAGGCAAACCTTGGTGGGGGGGAGGCGGGAGAGAGCAGGATGCGGGGGAGAAAGAAACAAGGAAGCCCGATTAAAATGGCAAAGCAAGGGGGCGGAGTGGGAGGGATGGAGAATGCGAGGAGTGGGCCACAAGGCAAAATGAAATCACTGCGTTTTTCAAAGCGGTTTCTTCTCTCCTCCCCTCCCCCGCCCCAGCCCACCCACACACACGTCCCCGAACACACATGCTTGCACCTGATTTCCCGGCGGGTCGCAGCCAGCCGCGGAGTCATTAGTAACAGAGTTGTCCTACTAAATCCAGCCCATCTCCTCCTCCCCTGGGGTATCTTGAAGAGATCTCGGGCGGCTCGCCCCTCTTGGGCTCGCAGCAGAAATTGCTTTACTTTTTTTTTTAACTGCGCAAAAAGGGGGTGGGAAAATCAGGGGACTGGCGGCGGGGGAGGGGGGAGAATGGAAGAGCAAAGATAGGGCGGTGTGGGGGTTACTCACACATCAGGAGAAGACGGGACCCCTCTCCTCTGCAGTCCGCCGGTAGTTTAGCATCTTCAGAAAGAGAAGGAAAGGTAAAAGGAGACGCCGCGTCCGGGGGGGATGCCCTGCTTTCCGTTGACTTAATTTGGCTGAGGGGTGCGCCGAAATTAGAAATCCGGCAGGCGGCAGGAGAGGAAGAGGAGGGTTGGAGCGGCGCGAAGCTGAGCCGACGGGAACCCGGGGTGCGACTGCGTAGGGAGGTGGGGGAGCCGGCCGGCCCGGTCGGCGGGCGGCGGCGACGGCCGAGCCTGGGCGCGCGCTTCCAATCCGGTGGCAGCGGCAGCAGTGCGCCTAGCAGTTTGAATTTGAGAGGCTTTGCAGGTTCCCCGGGACAGGGCTAGGGTGACGTCACAGGGGGAGGGGGCAGGCAGTGGATTGAGGGCGCGCTGTGGGGGAGGGAGGGGCAGATGCTTCCTTTCCCTGCGAGTGGCTTTGCAAAGCTCAAATCCGGGCTGCGTCAGTTGATTCTGAACTACTCCACCTCCAACCCAGCGGGTGGCGAGAGGCTGGCGAAGCTCCTGGAGAGGGGTTCTCCAGGAGGGGCCCCGCTAAAGGGCCGGCACCGCCTGGACTCCTCCAGCCCTTCTGAGTGGTTCTCCACCTGCCCCTCCCTCCTGGCCATTCCTGGGAGGTCTCATTACAGATTCCCAAGCAGGGGTCCAGATCTGCCCAGCAAGGGGTGTGTGTGTGTGTGTGTGTGTGTGTGTGTGTGTGTCTGTGTAGAGATGCCTCTTTGCTACAGAACTAGGGCCCGCCTGCCAGCCTCCTAGCTCAGATGCTCTTGGTGCGGAGAGTGGGGTGTGTGCGCGCACCAGTATGTCTGTGTAGGAGGGTGAGGAGTTCTCCTAGGGGATTTATGCTTTACATACAGAGCTTTGTTTCAGTGCTGAGAGAATTACTTTCTGGGTGGTGACTGGCCAAATAGATATTTGCCTGGATTCGGAAAGCCAGCTCAATGTTAGCTTATAGACTGAGATCAACAACAACAAAACCCTTCCCCCCCTGAGGTTTATACTTAGTCAGATAATGAGGTTTAAACGTGTGCTTTTTGCCTGAAGGAAGGAGAAGAGGAGTGGGTGTCAGAAAGGCACTACCAGGCTGAGCTTCAGCTGGGAGTGGGAGCCCACAGAAGGGTGCCTAAGCCCTCCAGGCTCCAGGGGCAGGGGAGCTAGGAGAACAGAAGGTGGCAATGCAGGAAGACTGGCTCCTGAGACAGAAAGGGGAGATGAAAGGAGTCCTGGCCTGAGACCCAATAGGCCTGGGTTCTGATCTAGCTCTGTTGCCAGGTATGTCACTTGTTTCTGGATCTTCCCGTCCTCATTGGCAAAAGAGGGTGGACTATACGGGCCCTCCCAGCTCTGAGATTCAATCGGATTCAGATAATCTTTCCATAGCATTATTAATGGCCAGGTGTTTCGTTTTTGCTTTCATTATCTCATTTTTTCTTAATTATCTTAAGGTCCCCTGGACCCAGGAGTCTCCCAGTGTGGAGTCCATTTGCTAGATGTGAATGTCCGCTGTTGCCGGGAAGGGTCAGGGGCTGCCTCTGGTGGGGATGGGGGAAATGAGGCAGGAAAAGGAGGGAATGCAAGAGAGTGGAAAAAGGAATTGACCAAGCCATGTGCCTGTCCTGTAAAACATTTCAGCTTGCTTTCCCCTCCTCTTCAGGCCCAGGCTGCTGCAGACAGAGTCAACACAGGGTCCCATTGCTAGACCAAATGCGGAATAGAGACAATCACATAGGCAAAATGAGCCGTCTGAGAACTGAAAGCCCCCTTGCTTCTCCCCTCCTCCTTCCCTGTTAAGCTCAAGTGCTAGGCTTGTTCAGCTTGCACAAGCTCTTTCCTCCCCAAGAAGGACTCGAGATAGTTTATAAACTTAGGCACTAAGGCAACCTGTGGCTCTGGTTGTCTCTTCTGGAATTTTTCTCGAGCTTTCTCCTTTCCCGCTCCTTCTCCTTCCAGAAAGAGCCTTGGACCAGACATCATGAGCCCCCTGCCCATCCTGTATTCTTGCTCCGTCTTGGGCAAGATCCTTCCTTTCTGGGGCCTCAAATTTTCCTTCTCTATGCCAAAGGGCAACATTGAGATGAGCTTCCCTCAGAGGGGGAGGGGGCAGCCCTGTGATAGCCTCCTACTGTCCATTGCAATTGCATCATTAAATGCAAGCAGAGTGATGCAGTGTGAGCACTATTAAGCTTCCTTTCATAGCAAAGGGGCATTTGTCTCTACATATCTCCAAATATTAAATATGCATAGTTCCTAGAGAGATATGGTTTATTCAGTCATTCATTTAACAACCATTTATTAATTAGGTTAATATTTCATTGAAGTAGAAGCCAACATGAGAGCTGGACAAGACCTTTGAAATCAGATTCATTTTATAGATGAGGACATTCCTCAACCAGGGAAAGTGCTGACTTGCTTAAGTTCAAGAATCTATAAAATTAGAAACAGAACCCAGGGATTCTGAGTCCCAGTCCAGCAGCTTTCCAAAAAGCTCACTGCTGCTTAATGTGAATTAGAGAAGAACTATCTACCCAAACTTAAATAGTGGTGGTGGTGGTTTACCGAAATGTGTCTTTTTTAGAAATTGTATTTGAAGGTGAAATATCGAATATTGGTTTTAGTTCTCAAATATAGTCATTTCCTTCAAGACATAGATGATGCTGTCAATACTCCTTGAGGATAGAGACTATTTTCTTAGGAATTTCAGATAGAGATTGGGGAGGAAGCTGGGGGCGCTTGAAATTCTTGACAGTTATAGAGTGAAGGAAATGCGGTGGTAAGCTAGCTGGCTGAGCTTCCACAGCCGCTTTTCCAAACATAGTTATTGGGAACGAATCAACCTCAACCCCGGCAAAGCACTTGAAGGAAGTTTCCTTTGGCCCGGCGTCTCGGGAGGAACCGCCGCAGCACGCCGCTAGGAGAGCGGGCTTATAAGGCGGTGGGAAGGTTCTTGGTGAACTGGGAGCCCAAGGGAGGCAGAGGCGGACGCTAAAATAAGGCACACGCTCCCTGTCCTCGCTGGGGCGAGGGAGGCATAAACGGGGACTTCGTCACCTCAGTCTCTCTGGCATCTAACCGAGTAGAGCCTGGCTCGGGTCGCCAGTGCTTCCACAGGGCGCGGTGAGTGCCGGCGGGCGGACAGCCCCCCTTCGACCCGGCCGCCCGCAGGCCACCAGGGGGATTACGGGAGTCCAGCCGGGCTGCGGTGGGGGGCGGGGGTCAACTTCCTGTCCACGGCCGCCTTCTCCCATTCCCGGGTGAATGCCATTCCTGAGGGACTCTTCTGGGCGACCAGGGAGCTCGGCGAGTACCCCGTCGCCGGGCACCGGGCACCGGCCGCTAGCGCAGCCCTATCTGCCCTCCCCCTCGCTGCTAGACGCCCGGCGCCCGGCGCGGGGGTCCGCAGCCCCGACGGCCACGCGCGCTGCCCTCGTCCCGGGCCTGGGCACCGCGGGCGGGCGGAGCCTTCTCTTCGGGAGCCGCAGCCACATCGGGCGCAGGGGCCGTCCTCCGCGGCGGTGGCCGCGGGGCTGCGCGACGCCCCGAGCCCGACCACGCCCGCGCGGACGGTCCCGGAGCGAGCAGCCCGGGAGGGGATGGGAGGCGAGGGCTGAGGGCGCCCAGTCTTCCCACGCCCATGCCCTCCGCGAGGGGAGGCGGCCCGGGAAGGCAGGGGCCGAGCGGAGCCAGCTCGCCGGCCGCGTCGTCACGGCGTTCCCGAGTGCTCAGAACTTACCCAGCGAGCGCGCCGCCCGGAGCTTCCCCCGGAGGCGCCCGCAGCATCCGCGACCCGAGGAGGCGCGGGAGCCGGCACAGCCTCGGACCGGCGCGGCCCAGGAGCGAGGGCACGGCGGCGAGCGCGGGCGGCGCCCCCAGGGCAGTCAGATCCCCACTGGAGCCGCTCGCCACCGGGCAGCGCTTCTGGCAGGAAGGAGGGAGGGCGCCTGGAGGGAGGAGGGCAGAAGAGCGGGAGAGAGGAGGAGGAGGAGGAGGAGAAGGAGGGAGGGACGGCGGTCCCTCTCCCGCACTTGTCAATCACCCCGCAGATCAAATGTCCCCGCTGTTCACCCGGGAGGGGGATGTACCAGCCCACAAAGGAGCCGCTGCTCCATTTCTCTGACAAGCGACGCGGAGCGCTGCTCACTCCTCTTGGCCCCTCTCGCCTGGAACTCTGCCCAGCGCTTGCAGCTTCCACCGTGGGCTGCAGCTCTGACTCGGTCAAGTGAAATAAGGATGGCACTCGGTCGGTACTACATCCGAGGGGAGGCTAAGACCACTGGGTGGAAGTTAAGGACAAGCGAGAGAGCAGCCAGCCCTCTGAGCTGGACACCCTCGGGACGGCTGCCTCCCCTAACTAGTAAGCGCCCAATCATTGGAGTTCGCAGGCAGATATTTAAGGACCTCCTACGAGGGTGGTAAACAAGGAATTTCCATATAATATAGAGCTGAGCTAGAATTGTGCAAGTGTGTTAACAAAAGCACGCCCTTAGCAGCGTTCCAGTCCCTGGTTTCGTTTGATTCTTTTTATTCTTCACGTCATTGTCTGGAACTACTAGAGCATAGGTTTTGTCATCCTCCCTTCCCTTTCCTCCTTTCTTTTTCCTCTTATTAGTAGTCCAGGTGTTTGTGATTCGATTAAAGGAAGGCGCTCAGTGAAAGGGTCACTGGAGTTTGAGAGGGAGGTGAAGTTTGGGCCAAGAGCTTTGCAGTTCCCCTCAGGACGTGCTTTCCCTAGGATCTCCCCTGTCTCTCCCAGGGGATTCGGGACAAAGTTAGAGTCGTACTAATTTAATCCAGGAGTAGGGTGTTTATTTGATGGCATCAAGACATTTTCCCCCTCAATCCTGGAGGAGAGTGGCTTTAGTTCAAGTCGTCACTGCCCCCTGTCCTTTTCATACCCACTCCAGAGTCTGTAAAGTCCCCAATTCTTTGGAATACCCACAAGCTTGGTGGTAGAGAATAGAAGGGGAGGAGAGGAGAGGGGTGCAAAATTATGAGCAAAAATTTGCTCACCTGCTAATGAATCTGCCCTGGGATTTGTCTGTTTTCAAGGTTATTTCCTATACATTTAAACCAGGTTCTCACAGCACTGACTTCCGCTTCATTCTTGTGCTTACTCTGGGGAATATTTTGTGCTCCTTCCTTCTCTTCTTGGCTTTCTTTTCATGATGGTTTTCTAAGGAGACCACGCTGGGCATTTTTAAAAGAAAATTACTGATGATCTCATATTATGAACATAGGCAGAGTTTACTTTAGTAATAGTCCAAAGAATTATCTCTTATAGTATCTCTGAGGTTTTAAGGATCATTACTGTTCCCTTTACTTCATTCCTGAGAAAGCCTTTTTGAGATTTCCCTGCCTTTCAAATAAGCAATTTCAGAAGCACACAGTTCTCACGTGTGCACATGAGCAGGGTATTTACAGGTACATGTTCAGAAACATTGCCCCGCTTTATTAAGATCCTCATTTGTGGGAAACATCCACCATGCTGTTTGCTACAGACTCTAGGAGTGGCCTGGGCACATCATATTATT